CGGCCGCCCCCCTCCCCCTTCCGCCCCCCCCCCCCCGAAATCCCCGTCAGGGCAATTTTAATCGTTCTGGAGGTAAACATTTCTTGCATGAATTCACTTTCTATGTCATTTTATATGAGTCGACCTCTGAATTTGACTTTCGTATAATTTCGGCGAAGTTTCTTTATTTATGGTGACTTAAACTGACATTTAACAGCAAAATCGAAGTGTTTTAAGCCTTCTTAAGGCAAAACTGGGTTTTCTGATGTTCGGTTCAGGGCTCCTTAAATTCGCGACTTTCTTTCCTTTGGGTGGTGTTAAGTGATAGCCTAATAAGTACTCCTCACATCTTTACAGCGTTTATTTCAACTTCTTGCCCCTGGCCACGGCAATATCACCCAGATTGTGTTTTGCACCTCGTAATAATGCAGCCTTTCACACATTTAAGGAGCGCTTTGCTACTTAATAGGCCATTCACGGCGTAATAGTGAAGAGTTTGGTGTCGGACGCGTTTGATTCGGAAAGTGCGAACCCTGGTCTATCAATCAAGGTCGAAATCTGACGAATTCTTCCTTTTACTTTAAAACGACGAACCTAAAACGCGACCCCATGCTGTTTTCCCAGGGGACCCGATGACGTCACTGCGCGACGTCATCGATACCAACTGTTAAGAACGTTTTCTGCAAGTATGCGGCGCCGAAATCACGAAAAGACACATATATCCATAGCCAAGATCCAGAGCAGACTTTTATTTCCGTCATAACTGTTTTGAGAAAAGCGATGTTTGAAATAACGGTATTTTTCTAATTGCCCCATTGTGACGCTGCCTGGAACCCGAGACTTGGCAATATAGCCTTAGAACACTGCATTTTTCACATGACTTTAAACCTCTGCCGCGGGAAAAGTACTCATCGCAGACATGTAAAATTTGGATATATGATAGATATGATGTTTCTGAAGAATTATGATAATTTTTTATGAAAAATAATCTCCTTAAGGTTCCGGGTCAGAGTTTAATTCTGACCAGGGTTCCAAATAGTGCGCAGTAAATCGCCGGATCTGCGAGGTTGTCACGCTAGGTTTGGCTCCCCATAGCTCGGTGATCGCTGTAGATTTTCAACTAGGTTTTGAATTGATCAAAAAGCCTTGGGATTGTAGTGTTTTTCGGCGCGGTGAAGTTGGACGGCCAGCGAAGCGTTTTTGGTATTAGTCCGCGAGCAAGGGTGATGCGGTTTGTTGCCTGATGACCCAAATAGCTGCGTTCTATGTGGAATTTCTAGGGGTTCGCGTCACCGGATTTTGTGAAAAACTTATCGCAACAACCTATATTTTTTTTCTGTTTTTCAGAAACAGAAAGTAGTAAGCTATTTCAGCATATAAGCCGTTAGCCTGGGAAAATTCGTTTTTTCCAAGCAGGCCCGTTGAAAAAACTGCAAAAAAACTACATTTTTCGTATCCAAAATTTACGTTTAACTACAGTTTCTACCCAAATTATAGAGTCGACGGACAATAACCAAAATTGTATCGGAAGCCGGCTGGAAACCTCCGTTGACTGATGTAATGAGATTTCCCGGCGTACTTTTTTTGGCGGAGTTATAGCCCTTCGGTCTGAGGGTGTCCGCCGGATCCAAAATCGTGAAAAAAACTCCGGTCCGAGACCTTAAAAAGCTTCATTTAAGTTGTCCCTAGTATGCAAATGAGATTCTACAAACCTTGAGCTCGGCCATGGTGTTCTGGAATTCAAGAGTGTCTGACTGTTTCTCATCTCCTGCAGCTCCTCTTTCAAGTGATAAAAAAGTGGTTACGGCTTCATTTAAGTTGTCCCGAGTATGCAAATGAAAGGCACAAACCTTGAGTTCGGCCATGGTGTTCTGGAAGAGTGCCTGACTGTTTCTCATGTCCTGCAGCTCCTCTAGGATGGGCTGCAGCACCTGTGCTGGAATGGACTGGGAGGACGGGCCGGGCTGGATCTCGGGGCTGTGCAGCGCCATGTGACCTCCCGACCCCGAGGTCATACTGGAGCACTCGTCCTCGCTCCCGTAACCATGGTGACTGGCAGGCTGACTGGTGGGATGGCTGGAACAAGGGCAGATCAGTGGTTACTTTCATTTAGTCTGTTAAGGGAGTATACTGTGTACATATTGACATGGTGCGTTCCTTTAGGCAGGTTGCAATCTACAAAATGTGCAAAATGCATCAAGTTACAACAATATCTTAAAATTTCTGTTAGAATTTTTAAATCCTGGTTAGAATTGCAAGACACAGGCAAGAACAGTTGTCATTGGTTAGATCCAGGAGCAACATCATTGGTCAGATTCAAGAGCTGATGCCATTGGTAAAATCCACCAGATGATGCCATCGGTCAGATTTAAGGGCTACAGCCATTGGTCAGATCCAGGAGCTGATGCCATTGGTCAGATTTAAGGGCTACAACCATTGGTCAGATCCAGGAGCTGATGCCATTGGTCAGATTTAAGGGCTACAACCATTGGTCAGATCCAGGAGCTGATGCCATTGGTTAGATCTAGTAGCTTAACCTATTGTACAGATGAAGGAACTAAATACGTTACCTTCCACTTGAGATGGCTGAGATATTGGAAGGTGTGAGAAACTGTCTACTGAGGTCTTCTCTCTCATCTAAACTGTCTTCTGTGGGGAAACAACCAAAAAAAAGTTCATTAAAAGCAGCACATAACAGGCTTATCATAAAATGTTAGATGATATGTTAGATAAAATGAGATCAAATTTTCAATGACCACTGTTGTCTTCATCAGGACAATAAATGACCAATCACTTCAAAACGTGATCTCGCGAGAGTTACAGTTACAGACACTACCTTTTATTTACACAAGACTTAACGAATACCTGACATAAGGCCATGTTGATTTGATTATATGGATGACATCCTCCGGGAACCCCAAAACTGATGCTCGCGTGCGAAGAAAAAAAAGTTTTGCAAAAAAAAAGTTCTTTTCATTGTGAAATCTACGTGGTCATGAGGGTTGAGCAAATGGCACAGAATATGGTTTGGCGAATAATCTAGTCTTCAAGTTCATTTCTTTACAATTTCGTCTTTTTTTCGTTTGATTTTGGCATTCTACGACATTGGTATAGTTTTTGTTAATTTTTTTTGTAACTCCATATGTCTGTGAAATTACTCTGTGATTAATAAGGGGATGATATATTTTTGCTCATTTTGCAACTGTTTTGTACGATTTACAGTATGGTTGAAAACTTTTTTAATTGGAAACGGCCGAAAATTCATGCGCGCGCGGATGTCATCCATATAATCAAATCAACATGGCCTAAGCGATAAAAAGTGCAATCATAGTACACTGTATAGTAAGAGACACTTAAAAGACAAATCATACAACTTTAAACCAAATTACTTATCAACTAGAAATAAAGCACTGTACTAGCTTGAAGTTTAAGATCTCAATTACAAGTATGTCTCATGAGCTACAAGTTAATTAGATTAATAATTCACCATAAATGACTAAAGGATACTTACTCATACTACTGATGTTGTCTGCACTGCCGAACTTATTCTTTATCAAGTGAGCAAACTCTTTGGGTTTATTCACCACTGCCCTGTAGGTAAAAAAAAAGGATTTTTTATTCAGATGAAGTAAAGATAATCGCAGAATCGTGTCTCCTTTCTATCCAAGCAGGCAGGCATGAAGAAATGCAGGTTGCAGGAAAAGGGGGGGGGGCCTACATCAATTTCACATCCACATAGCCTAGCGGCGACCAATGGGTGACCAGCATTCCGCGCCACGCCCACTTTGCGGTCGATTCCATTCGACAATAGGGTTGAACAGCATCCTTCCGTACGGCACGGCAGGTAATCGGAGTTGGAAATGTCAGATAAACAATGTAAGAATTGGTGTATTTGGGGTGAAAATAATGCAAGTACCGAAGTTACGGGTTCCTTTCTCAGCACTCGGTATACAGAGGTGAGGCGGCTTCCGTCCTAGATCTCCAGTGCCGAAGGTAGGTCAACACTTGGTGTGTCGGCGGCTTCAGCACTGGAAACTCGGAATCGGCAAATCAAACCTTGTCTTTAAAAAGGGTATCGAGATGCTGCCACTCATATTTTCGAGATCATACCGCCAGGGTAACAAAGTTTAATCGGGACAACAAGGTTATCGGCAGGACAGGACTGCAAGGCCTCTTTTCTTACATTTTCACAGACAAAGACTTGGCCTAAGATACTGTTTTGTACGCCGCACAGCCGATGTAAGCACCAGAAGCCCAGTGCCGAAATGGTTTAACTCGGCTCGGTAGTTATTTTGCTCTAACTATCCAAAGACACAGAATTCAGAAAACAATTTACAAATGTATCTTTTGAACAAGTTTGAGAAACATCTTTTTCAACCATATCTTGCTAAAGCGCGGGTTGTGGGTGTGGCCGAAATGCTGCCCGCCTATTAGTCCCCGCTAGGCTGGCTTGGATGGGAAATTGAGGTTCCCGGGGGGGGGGGGGTCCTGGTATGGAAGAAAGAACAACCATTGGCAAGCAACCTTGCAAAACTGTTGGGAATCCAAGGCAAGGAACAAGATATATGCACGCCAAGCATCTAATAACTTTTTAACCATGCATTGTAAACATTATGATGCTGTCTTTTTCAGGAATTGGTAATGTTTTATATTGAAGATATTACATCAAGGGTATTTTAATTTCACAAAGTGACATTAGCATACCAATGTTAACTCAAAGATTGAAAATAATCTGTTTTGGTATGCATGCATGAAAAGGGCTTTATGTATAAGATGTAAAAGGACTCTTAAGATATATTTTATAGATGCTGCTTTTAATGATTTAAAACCTATATTATCTCTCTTTAAAGTATGGACGTCAAGCAACAAAATTAGACAACAGGCTAGGGCTCATCTAAAATGTCTAAAACCACCTTAAACAAACTGGAAGCAAATTAGAAAATGCAAGTCAGTAAGATCACCAAAATACCAATGACCCTAGCAAGCTTGAAGTTGATTTTGCAAGCAAACACCAAACCCAAACTTAACCTTAACTGTGGGTTTTCTAATACTAAATATAGGCAAAAAACGTCAGTCTTATGAGTTTCGATTGCACGACTAGATGAAACTTAATAGTGTGAGTATTTTTCTGGTTTTGGCGGCTGGGCTGGGTACATGTACAGGAGTGAAGGACCTTGCTAGCGACTTTTTTCTCTCAGAAGAAGGCGTAACTGGTTTGTAAGACTCCTCAACGTTTGAATCTGGTTTCTTCAATGCTGGCATCCTGCAAAGTACCGTAAACCATCATCATTATAACACATCTCAACATGTAGAGCAGCCACTAAATTCCTTAAGAATTGAATAAATGAAGGTGAATTGGAAAAAAGTTACAGTTAGCAGCTGTCATTTTTTATGATTTGTGGACACTTTTTCCTTTTTATGGGGTTTGTCATTAGTTTTTTTAGTACTGCCCATTGGTTCTTGATCTAGAAGCTAATGTACAATGCCATTGGTCAGATTCAGGGGCTGATGCCATTGGTTAGATCCAGGAGCAACATCATTGGTCAGATTCAAAAGCTGATACCATTGGTCAGATCTAG